TAATGTCCATGACCGAAGCCAAATTTCCAGTCAACTACAGTTCTGAAAATACATAAATGAATCAACACTACAGAAAAGTAATTAGATGAAAATGAGGAAAAGACCAGCACTGCTACAACCAGTATTGCTAACTACCTGTTCAGAATTTTCAAACTTCTTTTCTTTTGCCCCAAGTTGGGGAGGAAATTATTTGAAATATGTGTGGCTACCAAAAAAGGATGTGTATGCGTGTCCGTGAGGACGGTGAGGGTTGCGTTCAGAGAGCTCGAAAGGCCACGGTCAGGGCCTTTTCCATCTCCCCATCCCCAATCACAACAGCCCCGTTATCTTCTGAACTTTCAAAGGAATGGCTTCCCCCTATTTCACCAGCGAAAAGTCTGCTCTGTCTTACTCGGCATAGAGATCAAGGAAAACGAAGACTCCTTATTTCTGTTACTGGAGGCAACTTCTTCTCAGTAGCATTTTAAGAGAAAACTAAAGCTAGTTACACATACCCTCCTTCCCTCCCACCATCACCATCACCACCGCAGGCCTAATCAAAGTTGAAACAAATTGGCCATGGAATTTTCCGCAGGAGTCGTTCTCTTTCTCCCCGACTCCAAAGCAAGCCTTAGCAAGTGGGGCAAAGTGAAGGGAGAACTAAGAACTTTCCACGAGGTTGTCTAAGAGCCAGCGCCCCAGTCTGGGACGGAAAAGAGAAGGAAGATGCGCGACGACTAGTAAAGAGCCGGCTGGGGCAGAACTGTCCGCGAGCGCAAACCTGGGCGCAGGGCCGCCGGCGGCTGGCAGGGAAAATGCTCTCCTGCTCACACTTCAGCACCTACGATGGCCCAGGCCCTAGGCTAGGCGCTTTCGTGCGTATCAATTTTTATTTAATAAGCTTCCAGCTCGCACTGCCACTTCCCCTTCAGGAAATTCGCTCCCTTTCCCGTGCTTTAGAAAATCTACAGGTGATGGATACAGGGTGGGACGCAGCCCAACAGCTGGAGGGCTCCAGATCTCTCTGCAGCCCCTAAGGAAAGCGTTTCGAAGCCCCTTCCTCACCGGGGATGCCACGGCTCAGGCTCGCGGCTGCCGAGTCCTGGACAGGTCTTGAGTCTATTTACTCAGGAGCATTTACCCAACTTCTACGCGGCCGGCACTGCCTTCCGCGCACCCTGCCGAGCCCGCAGACCAGGGTCCATCTTCCCACCCATTCCTCTGCTTCCTCGTGAAGTTGGAGAGCGCTTTGGGCCCTGTATTAAGACAAGGGGTAAGCTTACTCTCGCCAGCCACTTTTCTAAGCGCTGTTACCTACATATTAACTCATTAAAACTCATTAGTGTCCCCATTTTGCAGATGAGGAAACTGACGTGAAATCACTTGCCCAAGATCAAGACTCGAACCCAGGAAATCCAGTCCGGATCCAGAAGCCGCGCTGGAAAGGCACCCTACTTCCAAAGTCTCCAAGAACTTCGAGGTGATTTCCCGGCCACCCTCCCCCCTCTTCCCCCCACCCCCACCATCCCCATCCCTATCCCCAATCTCAGGCTTCTGCTGCCGGGGTTGGCTTTGGCCCACGAAGGGCAGGCGGGAACCGGCGCGCCCGCGCGATCTGTGCGCGAGGCACCTGTCCTCCTCAGGCTTGGACGCCGGGAGAGGCCCCCCGGGCCAGCGCCTGCGACTCACCGTCCTTCCGGAGCGGCGCGGGGCCTGGGGACGCCCGCAGAGGCAGCGCCAGGGTCTTGGAGACCGCCCTGCGGAGGTACATCGCGCCCGGCTCCCTGCACGCCGCTGCCGCTGTAGCCCCGCGGTGCTGCGGGGCGCGGGGAGCCCTGGCGAGCCCCGCCCCGGGGAGGGGCGCTGACCCCTGCCCGCCCCGCCCCGCCCCCGCGGCACCGTGGGGGATGTGCGCAGGGGTTGGTCGTGCGCACCGTCCTCCCTCAACCCAATCTGCAGGCTCTGTCGCCTTCGCCTGGGCCCGAGAAGCCGATGGTGGCATCTCGGAAAAGGGATGGAGAACCGAGAAGTCGCCGTCATCTGCCTGCCCTGTACTGTTCCAGTCAGTGGGACTCCTCAGAGCAGGCTGAGATGTCTCGGGACTCGCATCCGGAATAAGACACAGACAAGATTTATCATGCCGTGTGCAAGCTGAACCCACTTTCTCTCACGCACTCCGCTAGCTTTCCTAGGAGTGGAAAGGGTAGCTGGAAGTTCCCTGGAGATGGAGGAGGGGGGTAGCCTCAGCCTCCCATTAGTGCTCTGGGTGATGTTCAGAATCCTAAGAAAATTCCCGCTTAATGGCTGAATTTCTAGGCAATTCACGATTACAATGACTTTTAAATATAAACTCCAAAAGTGCTGCATATTCCTCTATGGGATGTGAAGCTAGTATTTCCAAATCAACTAAAAACACTGAATTATTAGTTTCTCCCTCCAGATTTCAATCACTTGCCTCATTGTGGCAACAAGAATCTGTCATGGTTTGAATATGGAAACCAATAATTTGTGCTTACAACATTTTCTAAGTGATTAATCTTTGGAAGGCACCATTTCCTACTATTATAACCCCTTAAGTATGTTTGGCACTTGACAGTTTATAAAGCACTTTCACATAATTTTCTCCTTTAATTTTTATTTCATCCCTCTGAGGAAGGTGGCAATTACTCGGTTTAGCAAACGACCAGGTGGTGGGGAGGAATTTTCAAGGACCGATGGTTATGATTTTTTTTTTTTTTTAAAGGACATGAACATAGTCCTTCTAGTTCCAAGTTCTCTTGGCATGTTACAGGCAAACTACTTGCTCATTTGCTAGGTGAATAACTAAACACTCCTCAGAGGTTCTCGTTCTGAACCCAATTCTAATAATATTTAATATAGTCTCATTTAAGGAGTACAAGCCAATGATCAGAACTAGTTTTGTTTTTTTTTTTTCGGTATGCGGGCCTCTCGCTGTTGTGGCCTCTCCCGTTGCTGAGCACAGGCTCCGGACGCGCAGGCTCAGCGGCCATGGCTCACGGGCCCAGCCGCTCCGCGGCATGTGGGATCCTCCCGGACCGGGACACGAACCCGTGTCCCCTGCATCGGCAGGCGCACTCTCAACCACTGCGCCACCAGGGAAGCCCCAGAACTAGTGTTTTGATGCTCAGTCACTAGCTATTCCTAGTGATTAAACCTTAAGAGCAAATAGGTAATCTGTGTTAATGAGAGGTCAGATTTAGACTTCCAAGCCCCAAAGAAGGGGCTAGACCCAGACCCTCCACCAAGAAGTTAGGTAGTCCTGAAAGTAACAAAATGCAGGTTCGTACACTTGCTACCTTCGCCCAGCATCAAGTACACGTCCTAGAATGAACTGCTGGCAGCTAGTACAGACTGACAAATCAAATCAAATCTGTGGGGAGAGCTCCTAACCATTTCCAATTTAGTGCAGCTCAACTTAAAATTAAAAGAGAAAACAAATCTGTTTACCACTACAGCTCATTCCTTCTTTGGTCTACTTAGGGCTGAATTTTGACTTAGTTGCCAGGGAGAGGAAATAGTAAAAGGCAGTAAATGCATTTTAATGAGTATCCACATGAGTAAAATGTGGATAACTCCTTTATTCATTGTGTTGCTGTCAGCTGTAAAGCACATTAGGTATAAAACACGCTCAGCTAGTTGGAGAAGGCAGGGCTAGACTCTGACTTCCAGCCTAAGCCGAAGCTCCAGGCCCACTTACAATGTTCTGATGCCTCTCAGTGCGCACATGATAGGATCCATTATAGTCCACCATCTCATCATATGGTAAGGTCCAGCGGGGAGTTTATCATGTCCTCTAGGTTGGATGTGGCCATCCCAGCTGGCAAAGGCAAGAACTGTGAGATAAATAGTGCCACTTCTCCAGATCCCTTTTCATCTTAGCTAAAAGCTCATGCCTCTTGGATCAAAGGGAATTTGCCACCTACTCTACTGCTCCTGTAGGATATGTGGCTTTCCATTTTGATGTCAAACTCTTCCCACATTTTGATGAAACACTTCCCAAGAAGGGACATGCCTGTGGGGTGTCAAATTCACTCTGTAGCAAGCTGTTTCTCCAGAACCCTGAGAGAATTTTAACAGTAGGTCTCCGCTATGCAAGACTCTTAAGGCTGAGACAGTAGTTTCCCAGCTGTTAGTCACACTGTTTATAATGCTGCCCTTGAGCACATCCTTGACATTTTTCTTGGTCTTGTTGGGAAAACAAGAACTTAGGGTTAGAGTTAACTTGGTTTATCTAAGATGATCTCCACCTAACTTTGACTGTTGACAAAGACAGTATTAGTTCTGAAAACATATTGTAAGAGAGGGAGCTCACAAAGCTCCCTAACCACTGGCACTATTAGTCATACTTACTCAAGGCTTAAGTTCCATATAATTAAAGGCAATTTTCAAAGACTGAGTGATTTCCTAGGCTCCACAGAAAGCTAGAAACAGCTTTTTTTTCTTAATATTAAATCCCTAATCTATAACCTGTACTTTCAACAGATCAATACGGATATAAAGTGAAACAATTTAGAAGAGTATCTAGGAAGACAAATTGGAAAGCAATTTGAAGAAGTGCTGATAAGCACGCTTTTTAACATCTTTACTGGAGTATAATTGCTTTACAGTGGTGTGTTAGTTTCTGCTGTATAACCAAGTGAATCAGCTATACGTATACATATATCCCCATATCCCCTCCCTCTTGCGTCTCCCTCCCACCCTCCCTATCCCACCGCTCTAGGTGGTCACAAAGCACTGAGCTGATCTCCCTGTGCTACGTGGCTGCTTCCCACTAGCTATGTTTTACATTTGGTATGCACGCTTTTGATGGCCTAAAATATTTCGATAAAATGAAGGAGAAAGGGCAATCAAGATGGTAAATTCTTAAACTATTCTTGGAGGTTCCTCAGTACTCTTCCCATCTATTCACTTTCTCTTCTGTAGTAAAATAAACATGACATTCCCTACCCCTTCCATATTATTTTCCTAAGGCTACCATAACAAATTACTACAGACTTGGATGGTTTAAAACAACAAACTTTATTCTCTCACAGTTCTGGAGGTTAGAAGTCTGAAGTCAAGGTGTGAAACATGCAGGCGAGAACCCTTCCAGCTTCTGACGTTTACCGGTAATCCTTGCTTTCCACATGCATCACTCCAGTCCCTGCCTCCATCATTCCTGTCTTCTCCCTGTGTGTCTGTGTCTTTTCTCCTTAGAAACATACCAGTCACATTGGACTAAGGGCCCACTCTACTCCAGTATACTCATTTTAACTAATTATATCTGCAAATACCCTATTTCCAAATAAGGTTACATTCTGAGATAATGGGGGCTAGGACTTCAACATATCTTTTTGGGGACCAAAATTTAACCCATAACAACTTCTTGTACTTAAAACTGAGCTCCTATAGCTTGTTTTTTTTTTTCTACGGCAACTTAATAAACTAACTTAATGACTATCTCACAGACACTGAATCTGAAAAAAAAGGTCCGATTTTGATCTAATAAAAAACATGACAACATTTGACATATGAATTTGTCTGTTATCTTCTTTTTTATGGAAATTCTTTTACATTATTGCTAAAGGAAGCATCATTTGACCAAGTTCTTCTTAGGAGTTGTGTATCAGAACGATTCTTGTTCAGTCCAGCTAAAACATCTCAGTTTAAGAGACTACTGACTGTAGCCCTCTCTTTACAATGTGGGCTGGGGAAGAGATGGTCTGTGTGCAAAGGAAATAAAGCACATAGGCAGAAAGCAGAGCCAAGAGCAAAAGTCTGGGTAACATTTGAATGCCAGGCCCCAATTATTCCTGGGCTCAGGTGCATGCCTGTTACGGCAGTCTGTGAGTCACTCTGTCTCCTCATAACCTTCTTTTAGTTTAATATAATTTGAGTTAGGTTTCAATATTTAGTTTAGAAAGCACCTCTCACCAGTGCCCCTGTGTGGCACAACTCTAGGAGGTGTTACTCAGAGTAATCTGCATCTGTACTGCCCAATACGGCAGCCACCAGCCCCACGTGGCTATTTAATGAAAAGGAAATAAAACTAAAAAAAATGCAGTCACATTAATCGCATTCCAAATGCTCAGTAGCCACATGGGAGTAGTGGCCACTACGCTGGCTAGCACAGGCAGAACCTGTCCATCACCGCAGAAAGTTCTGTTGGACAGCCCTAGTCTTCGCGAATGGCTCCCCCTGGAGTTACAGAGGCACGATCAAGATGAAAGTCCACACAGGGCAGCTTTATTTTCAAGGCCCGACATACAGTAAATCTTGCTTGTTAAAGCTGTATTTTATTTCCAACTAAGGTTATCAGTTTCCAGAATTTCAAGTGTCTTAGAGTTTTCTGTTCCCTTTAGGGATGTGAATTTTAAGTGTCTCTTTTAGGGTAAAGTTCCTTGAACTGGGAGTTGATGCCTGACTTCTTGGTCCATTACCACATGACAGTATTAGTTTCCTACTGCTGCTATAACAAACTTAGTGGTTTAAAACAACACAAATGTATTATCTTACATTTTTGTAGATGAGAAATCCGACATGGGTCTCACTGGGCTGAAGTTAAGGTGTCAGCAAGGCTGTTCCTTTCCGGAGGCTCCAGGGTAGAATCTCTTTGACTTCTCTGTCCCTTGGCTCTTGGCCCTCTTTCATCTTCAAAGCTAGCAATGGCCGGCTGAACCTTCCTCATGTCACACCACTCTGACACATCCTGGTGCCTCCCTCTTCCACTTCTAAGGACCCTTGTGATTACATGAGGCCCGACCAGATAATCCAGGATAATCTCTCCATCTCAATGTCAGCTGATCAGGACACTTAATTCCATTTGCAACCTTAATTCCCCTTTGCCTAACCTAACCTAACATAGATACAAATTCTGGGGAGTAGGACATGGTCATCTTTAAGGGTCCATCACTCTACTTTCCAGTGATATTGGGCAGATGACTCTTTACCTCTGGTTTTTGCATTTGTAAAATTATGGAATTGGTCTATATGACCCCCTAAGGTCCTTTCCAGTTCTACCACCTAGGACTCCGAATTGACAAAAGTTAACAGTTACGGTTTTATCTGGTCTTTCACTGAATTTGGATTAAATACTTATTCTGAGATAATGTAACTCTGACTTTATGTTCAGGAGTGACTTCCAAAGGTATTGGGCCATGAATCTCCCAGAGTAAGTGTTGGCCAGAGCCCAAAACACAAACAAAGCCATTTATAAGGCAATGAAACTTTCTATTTAACATCAGAATGGAGATACAAATAATACACTTTCAAATGTATAGTATTAATACATTAAGTGTTTAAATTATATGTTAAGGAAGTGGCATATAAATAGGTGTTAACTGATTCACACGAAAGGGTTTTAATGAGGGATAAATGAAGTGTTTTTTCATTTGTCTCTATTAGCTCTCACCAACTCCTTTTTTTGAATAGTCTGTTATTCATTGGATGAAAGTCATATGAGCAAAAAGAGCCAACTGTGGCCATACCGGTGTGAAAAACAGTCACCCAAATGAAACTCATTCAAACTCAAGGAAATGGAGTCAGAAGAAACTCTGGTAAGAAGAAAATAGTATTTGGGTTCTTTTGTATTTTAAATAATAGAGTAGGAGTAGTTCTATCATCCTGATCACTAAATAAGTGTTCTGATTAGAAATCAGAAGTTGATAGAAGGACTAAATCCTCAGCAGTGATTTTTTTTTAAATCTATATCCTTAAAAAGTTTTCTTACCAATTATCAGATGGCACTTTCCACATTAAAATACTTCTAGTAATTTACGTTAGAATTGACATTTTATACATTGTCACAATGTACATAATCTGAAGAATACAGAAGTATTTTTTAATTTAATTATGTGAAACACAAATGCTGACTTGACATATGTTCACATGTAACTCTTTCTCTCAGTTTACAGCTCAACAGATTGGTGAATCCAGAGGAACTGCTATAAACACTATATACCTATAATGGAAAAAAAAGAAAACTGTAGCATTAACCAGCAGAAGTAATATTAAAATTAGACCATTCTGAACAATGCACCTTAAAGTGTCAGGGGAAGTCTAAAAAAACAAATCCACAAAGAATATCAACTCCTCATTTTATCTAAATTTTAGCAAAAAAAAAATTTTTTTTAAATCTTAACTACAGGAGTAGCAAAAGCATCTGGTTTTGATTTAAAAACCTATTTCATTTTTATCTCTTGATTGACTGAAGTAGTGAAATGGGCAAGGTGATAATAATAGAACAAAATGTACACTTGTGATTTCTATTTGATTCTTCAGCACATATAAGTTATCTACTTTAATCAACCTAATCCAAGAAAGCTGAGATTTATAAGGATGATTTTTCATTTTACAAAAGGATTAATATAGGATTTCTTTAAAAATATTTTCAGAAATATGGCACATATATACATATAAAATAAACTCACTCTTTTAAATAACAGACCATGCAGTGTATTCTATCTTATTCACAGCTAGGTTTTATCAGGAATTGTCCAACTGGGTGTTAGTTGTAATGACAATCATAATAAAATAGTCATGCAGTAAGAAGTTTAACAATTGAATGCCCTGTGCTCATGGAATTTTACACTCAAGTGTGGTATATGACAAACAGGTATTAAGAAATACATACACAAACAATGATAACTTGTCCTAAGTGCTATGAAGGCACTGTGTACAGCACTATTAGATTTAAGGAAATATGATTTTGGTTTCATTCTTAAGCACAACTTCCTTTGAACACAGTCAAAGTGTAATGATTAAAAATGATTATACTAAGAGATCCTTGAGCCAAGGTATTAAAAATTCATAAATTTGTCACAGACAGGAATATAGGTGCTAAAAAGTATAAACCTAATGAAAAAAGTCAAAACACATTATTTAAAAAGAGGTCAAACTTGCATAGTCTATTCAATCCTAGAAAATCACATACTTACTGTATCGGTATTTCAAAAGTTTATTCCAACCCATTTCTTCTTTCATACTCTAAAACATCTTCATTATGTTGTTTTATGAGCTAGAAGCAGGTAAGAGTTAAAATTAGAAATGCAATCTTCCTGGCAACTTAAAGAGGAGAAGGAGAAGATCAACTAATGATATTTATATTTTGCAAGAGAAATAAGGATAGATTAAAAGAATTACAACTATTCTAGTCAGAAATAAAAGGCTAAGGGATACAAAAGTCCAAAAGCTATGAATGATATGTACTTGTTCACCACAATCTGACATACTATAAATTTGAGAAGGCAACCCTTAAAAGTTTAAATCCAACTTCTGCAAATAAATTACTTCACTCAGTGGGTAATTAATGGAATGGAGAGCCTTACCACAGAGGGGCTAAAGCAACAGGACAGAGCAGAACCTGGTTATTAGATGGGGTTGGTGGATGTGTACTATACTTCTAACCTCAGAAGTATGAAACTGTGAGTGAACGACCAACCCACATCCCCCAACTATATATGTATTAATTAGATGTCACGGAGGACAGCCACTTTCTCAGAACCACTGTCTGACAGAATATGCAACTAGAACCATGGCTGATATAGGGTGACATGTGTTGCAAAGATCCAATATCAATCAGAGCTCTCAGCAACAAGTTTCTTTTTAGGAAAACTTTAAGAACGTATAAAGTTACATTATAACAAACATTATTTTGAAAGGATTAGTTACTAAGTTGTAAGTAACTTTCATCTTCTCTTCCTCCTTTCCATGTCAAAGAGCTGAACTACTTTAATGAAAAAAATCCCAAATAAGAGATCTAAGAGCTGGAGGTAGGCGGCAGTGGAGGAAATTCCAAAACAAAAAATTTAAATACTAATGTAGCACAGATACTTTTAAAAATTTTATCTATGGAGAGACAGTATTTCAGTGGTCTACAGTATAGCTCTGAAGTCAGGGAGAACTTGGTTTGGCAAATTAATTTCTCCAAGTGTTTCCTACATCCGTAAAAGGTCAATAATAATAGTACTACCACATAGTGTTGTTGAAAAAATTAAACAAGTTTTTACAGGTAAAGCATTTGGCATACTGTAAACAAAGACAAAAAAGAAAGAAAGAAAGAAAAAGGCTGCTACACACTAGGTACAATTTCCAACAATGTATTTACACAAACATTGTTAAAATCTTATATCTTGTAAGTCCAATGGGATTTAATTTGTATAGCTTGTTCCTTTACGATCTGTCCCTATGGCATCTGAAAAAAGTGCCTTCATAAAACCCCAACCTGCCTCCATCTTTATTAAGAAATAAACTAAAGGATAATATGTAGTAAAACTGCCATTCACGACAAAACCAGGCAAAGGAACAATGACAGAAATTTCAGCCTCATTATACTTTCTCGATGCCTCTGAAACCTTAATATTTTTTAGTCCTTGGAGAAATAGATTATTAGCAGTTACATAAATAACCTATGGTATGGGAGATTTGCTGCGCAACACTCAACCTCACACCGGTACTTGTCCTCTCCAGCGTGCTGGAGTAGCACGATTTAAGGGAGTATATACTTACATAGATCCACAAGAAAACGGAGGTGCCCAAGGTCAGTCCAACCTTCAGCCAGTCAGGTCTGCCTTGTGGCGGTTCCCGAATGTAGAACTTTGACCGCGCTGAAGCTGAAATGGGACAGAAAGGGTCTCTAAATCTATAACTTATCACCCTGTAGGGATAAACCTGACATTTACATGCGTATTGTCGCTTTTAATTCCCCCTTCTACTTCCTCATTTAAGCAGCCACAGAAAGAGAGGTTCAGAGAGGCCTAGTAACTCGCCCTGGGCCACCAGCAGGGCCAGATCGGGTAGCGCCTTCAAAGCCTCGTACACGGGCTTTGGCGACCCTCCAACGTCTCGGGGGTGGGCGGATAGAAGCGCCCCCGGGAGGGTCTCCTTCTCCCGCGTCTGCAGGAGGAGGGACTCAAAGTCCATTCGCCGAGACCCCGAGGGGTCGGACGGCACCGGGAGGAGGGTGGGCGGCGGCTGACAGGGAGCCGAGGGTGGAGGCAGGCGTGGGCTCCGGGAGGCGGGCCGGCGAAGGTCACTGCCGGACAAGCCCGGGGCGCAGCCGCCTCCTGCCCCTGCGGGGCTGGGTTCGCCCTGGGAGCCGCAGCCTGGAAGGTCGGGGCGGCCTCCTCGAGGAGGGACACTTACAGCCGCTCGGGAGCCTGGCCGGTGCCAGCAGCTTGGAGAAAGGTCGCAACAAGGCGGACAGCGCCATCTTGCCGGGTTGGGCTCCGCCTCCTCCAGCCCCGCCGCTCTCGGGGGTCGGCGTCCGGCCAAGCGCCCCCTGGCGGGCGGAGGCGCGGAACCGCGGGCTCTGCGGCCGCGCCGCGTGCGGGCGCTAACCCCAAGAATTGGAGTTACCGCCTGGTACTCTAGCTCTTCTGGTCTCAGCCCTCAATCTGCACAGTGGGATTACGAAGGAGGTGATTACAAGGGGAAAAATAAAAGGTAGTTTAGCCGCGTCTCTGTCCTCGAAGAGTTTATTTCAGACCCCCACCCCAGGGACACTTACAAAGAGAGTTACCAAAATCTTCCTGCGTAAGCCGGGAAACTGCAAGTGAAGGGGGTTGAATAGTAGCATTTTGATCGAATTCGGTGTTTCAGGCACTGTGCCTTAATGCATCATTTGATTTACATGCACTATCATTTCACTTTCACAACGGCCGCAGGACACGCCGTGATTATCATTCTCAATTTATAGATGAAGCTCAAAAGACAAGCTCTTCCTCCAAGGTGACATATTATATATACCTCATATTTGAAACGACCTCTTAACAGTTCCCAAAGTCTGTTTATACGCACTAGCACAGTAAAGCCTCACAACCCTGTGAGGAAAAGAGAATCCTAGTATTTCAGAAGTGCCCCGACCAGTTCAAGACCACACAGCTGGGGAAGTTGGGACTCGGACTTAGACCACCCAACAGGTTTAAACAGTCCCCTGAGGCCATAAGCTGAAGAGCAGGCTCAAAGTGCCAAGTTCAAAGCGCCATTCGTGCTCACCTCTTTTTAGCTATATGATTTTTAGGCAAATTACTTAACCTCTCCATGCCTCAGTTTTATATCTGGAACAAAACACCTACGCTATAGGGTCGTTGGGAAGCTTAGAGCGTGTCTGGTGGTTTTAAACAACTTGCTTTTGCCTATCTCTTTGATACCTATTGTACTGACCAATAGGTTTTATTTTTCACAATTGAACCAGATTTTTTGTGCATTTAATTCTCGATTCAAACTGAGGTCTAAAGGCCATGTAAAAATATGTATATTTTTACATATTTTAATTAGGTTTAATCTTTTAAGCCTAATGTCATTTGGGTTCATTTTAAGGGCAAAATAAATGTTAGCAAATCTCTTTTTCTTTCTATACTTTCCTTAGCAATGTTATTGAAAAAAATTGTTAACCAAAACAGTAAAATAATCGTTCTATGTTTTCTGGCTCATTTTTACATGCAACTGATGGCTACATAGATTGCTAAACTGTGAGTCACTTTATAGTTTGTAACCTAGTTTGAGCCTCCTGGACTCATGCTCAAGAAAACAAACCACGCAACTAACATGCTGAGTCAGTTGTTGGTTCTCAATTTCTTGGCTTCTTGTCCACTCAGCAACCTGTCAGTAGTATATCCTTTCTACCCCATCCCTTGGAAGTTTATCCTGACACAGCTTTTGCTAGAATCCAACAAGTGGAACAGAAGCCACATTTAGTCAGAGCATACAAAACCATTAGGCAAATTACTAAATTTCACTACTGCTATTGGAAAAGGCTGTTTTGTTCTTTTGCCCCCTGTATCCTTTTACCAGTGTATATTTTGGGAAAGTGATGAAGTATAAGCACATTTCTCTCAGCATGTTAGAGCTGATGGAACCCTACACTTGGAGTAGGCAGCTGTAGGTGAAACTCCATCTTGAAAAGAATCCTGATGAAGCAATTGCAGCCAGGAGCTAATAGCTGTGATATTTTGGTAGAAGTTGCTACGTGACATTCATTTAAGCATCCCCAGAAACTGAATGCTAACACTTTATTAATGACCCAGGCAGAGGGTTCCCCCTTTCTAGTTAGCAGCTAGAAAATCAAATTTTTATTTTATTTTTACATATACATGTATCTATTCTTTTTCAAATTCTTTTCCCATTTAGGTTGTTACAGAATTTTTAGATGAGTTCCCTGTGCTATACAGTAGGTCCTTGTTGGTTATCTATTTTATTTTATTTTTTTTTTTTTAAAATAAATTTACTTATTTTATTTATTTATTTTTGGCTGCGCTGGATCTTCCTTGCTGCGCGCGGGCTTTCTCTAGCTGCGGCGAGCGGGGGTCTACTCTTCATTGTGGTGCGCGGGCTTCTCATTGCGGTGGCTTCTCTTGTTGCAGAGCACGGACTCCAGGCATGCAGGCTTCAGTAGTTGTGGCTCACGGGCTTAGTTGCTCCGCGGCATGTGGGATCTTCCCCGACCAGGGCTCAAACCCGTGTTCCCTGCATAGGCAGGCAGATTCTTAACCACTGTGCCACCAGGGAAGCCCTGGTTATCTATTTTAAATATAGCGGTGTGTACATGTCAATCCCAAATTTCCAGTCTATCCCTGCCCCCCACCCTTCCTCCCTGGTAACCGTAGTTAAGTTCATTCTCTAAATCTGTGAGTCTGTTTCTGTTTTGTAAGTAAGTTCATTTGTATATTTTTTTTAATATTCCGCATATAAGGCATATCATATGATATTTGTCTTTCTCTGTCTGACTTATTTCACTTAGTATGATAATCTCCATGTCCATCCATGTTGCTGGAAAATCAAATTTTTAGTCCCAGATTTTTCCACTGGGAAACATCTTACTCAACTCTCATCTCCCGGGGAAGGGTTAAAGTAAAGCCAGAGTTGAAAACAGTATAAAAGGTAAAAGTGCTTCCTACATGTTTACTGATTTATGAAGCATGAGAATACTATACATCAAATTCAAATCTGGAGAGGGATAGCTGTATCTGAAAGTTTTTATTAAAAAAAAAAAGCAATCACAAAACGTTAACATTTTGTAAATCTGGGTGGCAAATACATAGATTTCTTTCATGTTTGTTTCTAGAAAATGTAAAGATGTAGAAGTGTCAATAGAGAACCTCTTACATCTATGAAGATGGAGGAATTTCACTCTATGTACCCCTTTTGTAGAATTAAAGTTTGCAAAGTTATTTCTTTATTTATGGTGAATTTATCACAAAAGTGATATGCAAACACATGGTGTAAGATGAATGAAATAACTACCACCACCACCATCACCATCATCACACCTAGCCTTGGATATGTTAACTCCCTGCATAGCTGTCATTCAAAGCATAAGCCCTTAAATGGGATCGCTATTTGTCAAATAGTGGTGTCTATCAGAGTAGACATTTTATTGAGTTCAGGCTATCAAATTACTGACTGTGCGGTCCAACTATCTGTAAATGCATTTTAACTAGGATGTTTATAACTCACATAAATGTTGAATCAGACTAGTATTCACTGAGTCTTAAAGACTTATTTATTTGTCATTAGCCAAAAGGAACATATTTGCCAAACTATCTTGCTAGCTCATCTATTCAGTTACTCAGCTTCTGGTAGAAACTACAATTTGTTTCAAAGACCAGAAATTTTCTTCCCCCAAAGTGAAAATAGAATATTATTTACAGGAGAAATTTAGAAAAAACATAGCAAATAATATTGCCAGAAGGACTTTTGGATATGAAGCTAGAGATATGGAAACCCAAGTTAGTAGCTAAGCTAAAATTATCACCTTAAGTTAGACAATTTTTCTACTTTTTAATAGTTCAGATAGTTGAAAGACCTGTTGGGGGCGGTGAAGTTTGAAGGTTACTAGTAAATAACAGCCGTTTTATGAATTCAAAATTTGTTCTTAGTTTTTTTTTTTAAAAGCTAAAGTTAAAAAACTTGCCGTATTTCGAAACTCAAAAATGGTTTCTTGTACATACAATTTTCTTAATGAAACTTTTAAAGAGACATCACAGAGTTTGAAGAAATTCCAGGATCTGACTTCTAAAATCTTACTTATGCCCCAGGCAAAAGAGAGGGCGTGCAAGATAGCAGCTAGAAAACCCAAGTATTAGCCGCAGATTTTTCCACTGGGAAACATCTTACTCAACTCACACCTTCCATGGAGGATTAAAGAGCAAGCCGAAAACAGTAAAACATCTGTGTAACTATGATTAAAAAATCAAAGCTACTGCATATATTGTATAATGATTCATGATGCACAGAATGCTACTACTGATGGAATTCAGGATCTGGAGAGAGATAATCAAAAACAATCAAGGATAAAAATGGCTCATACGATGTGAAAATTTGTAGTCATCCACAGAATGCCACTTTTAAAATAGTTTTACTGTCGAGTTTTAGTGAAATGGCTTGAAGAGACTCTATTAGGTATCAGTCTGACCTTGCTTACTGCAGTAGTTCTCTAGTATCCTTGCCAGATACTCTTCGGCTTCCTAAGATTTAAGGATTTCTAATGACGGGGAGTCACAGTATTAAGCACTAGCTTGAAGCCAGTTCCAGGGGAGTCAGTGACCTTGAATTCTTCACAACCCAAGGTGATTCATACAGTCCTCAACGCTGCATTGCATGAACTCGGCGATGAAATAAAAACACACACTTTAACCTTCAGATGTTTCTTTGGCAGTGCAAACATGGTACTTCGGATCTGGCTGACTACCTTTCCAGGGTCCTCTTAAAGTAATAAAAGTAAATCACTGATGCCCCAGCCAGGCCCATTTACTTGGTTAACTCTTTCACGCTTTTCAGACTCCGGTAAGCCCCATCCTCTCTGGATCTATTTACAAGTCCCCACTGTGGTGAAACTTTCGTTTCCCCTCCGCCTCTGCTGCTTAATTAGGCACTTGGGCCACGATCAAAGACACCGCTTTTTGGACACCGGGATTTTAGCACTTTAGGCTCAAACTATGATTATACAGACTGGAAGAGTCTACCCAATGAATGAAAAGCCAATCTAGCAAAAAGTAGTGGAATCGCTACTTTTGATGCGGAGGGGGTCGGAACCGCAGTTAGCCACTCTCCCCTCGCTTCCCCGGCGCCTCGGAGACAAGAAACCGAAAGGATAGGCGGGGCCTGCCGCGACCCTCGCGGCCTGCGCGGACCTGGGCGGGCCTCCAGGTTTCCCAGCAAGCTCCAGGACTGAGGAGGTGGGGAAAGGAGGTCATCGCGCCTGCGTGTTAGGAGGTGTGACCCGGGTGGGAAAGCTCTCCAC